CTAGCCCACCGGACGTCAAGCCCAAAAGCTTGCAGGGAATCCCGGGGATCCCCCCTCAAGCGTCTGATGAACGAGATCCGAGTTTGGCCCCCTTCCACTGCCGCAGCATACCCCCATCCTCCTTCCAAGAATGGCTGCATGCACGGCAACTTACTGGGCTATTCTTCTACACAAGTTCACTGCGCCTGACCGGCGCTTGCGTCAAAGAGCCCGAGGCGACTCCTACTTAGCCTTATTGGAGTCCTTTTGCTCGTCAAGAGAGCATGGATCGGAGTGGACCAGCGTCCCTGGGGCCCTCTCCGTGGACAGAAGGCCAATCTTGTATTAGGTCCCGTCCCTGGGGTGCAAGGACCGGCGGGCCTCACCCGGATGTATCGCCCGCAAGCCCGTCTTGCCCATCTGGCCATCTTTATAGACACACACAGGCGCGCACACACACATCCACGCACTTGTGTGTAATAATAGGATCGATTTCCTCCCACTCCCGGGTCAGTGCCGGGCCTCTTACATCTATCAACCACTCCCCTCCATCATCTGCCGTCTTAAAGCTCCATTTGATCCCTATGGGCATACAACTTCGCTTTTCATCCTTCACTTTTCCGTCCTGTTCATAACTCGGTTCTTCAGACACGTCGACACTTCTACTCCCTAGCGGCCTTCTTTCCACGAAGGAGCTGTGAAGCGGTTCTCTCCTGAGTGGCGAATCAACAACACCGGCTCCGTCACTTGCCTCTGTATCCGCTTCGACATCAACCCCCTGAAGCCAACACTCAACTCTTTTTCAAAGACTTGTCGCTGTCTCTCCAGCAAACGTAAAAGCTGAAAGCCGGGACATGAGCCCATAATGACAGCAACAGCATATCCAGTGACCATGACCGACCTCAGAGGAGAGCCTGCCCATTCCAGTTTCTGGTCCACGTACAACGGCTCCGCCCATCTGGCCAACAGACTCGGCACGACAACTATGGACTCTGGCTTTCACAGCTCGGCATCGGCATCCCCTCTCCCAGGCCGTCCCCGCAGTGGCCACGAGCAGTCTTATCCCTATGGGCGCTATTCCCAGGAAGACTCTGTTGCGTATGATCGACACCCGCAGCCAAGCCTGCCTGCTCAGCATGGCTACTCAGGCCTGAAGAGACCCTTCTCGCAGACTGAACCGGCCGCCTATCAAGAAATCGTCCAAGACCTGCGGGATGACGGCTCTCGGCTGACGGTGAACCAAGATCACAAGCTTCTGGCCTTTAGACGGACGCAAGATAAGCATACCATTGTGGATCAACAAGGTCGGATGCAGCAATTGGAGCTCTCGGCTCAGCTCCACGGCATGTTCTTTCTTTCCGAGATGCCATCGACTGCCAGCGACGGAACTGCCCTCCAGCCCGAATTGACCTGCTACCGACGAAACCTGTTCCAGATCAGCGGCTCTCTGATCACCCCCCGGGGACAGCTCTCTGTGGTCAACGAGAGCAACGAGACACTTCCGGTGTCCAGCATGGAAGTGGCCATCTCCGCCATCGAATCGGTAGATGGCAACCCTGTTCGTCTCATTGTCATCCCGTGGAAGACCCCTCCACCGAACGCCCCCGAAATCAACCAGAGCCCGGATCAGGAGCCCGCCGCCCTCCCCTTGATCCCTTTCCAGGACGACGGATCCGAGCCCGATGGAGACTACGCTGTCTATCCCATCGGCTGGCGTCGCTTGCAGTTCAGAATGTTTGTTGGAACCCATCCCCCATCTCACCCTGATACAGACTACTGACATCAACATAGCGCTACTGCAAATAACGGTCGACGAAAGGAGCTCCAGCAGCACTTTGTGCTCCACCTTAAGGTGTTTGGAACCTTGTCCGACAACTCCAAGGTTGTTTTGACGGAATCCACGACGGCTCCCATTGTAGTACGGGGCCGCAGCCCTCGGAACTTCCAAGCCCGTAAAGAGATTCCTCTGCTCGGCTCGAGTGCTGGATCAAGGGGCCAGGCTCTAGTGGAGACTGGCTTAGGGGTTGTCGCTGGAGCGTTGAGCGTCAAGCCTCAGGAACTCAAGAGGAGTGTGGACATTCAAGTGCCGCGCTCGAGTTTCACCTTCAGTTCCCCCAAAGTCCCTGGCAGTGGACAACTGAGTTCTCTGAGATCCAAGTGAGTCATTCCGGAAGCTGAATCTGTCATTATGAAAACATCGGTTTCTAACCATTCATGATTATGCAGTCAATATTCGCCATGGAGTGCTAGCAGCAGCAATACTTCCATTCCCCAGGTCGCCTCATCTGGCGCTGGGAACTATCCGGCAGCGACGATGGGCGCTGACACATACTCCAAAGTGTCCATCTCAGGCGCATCGAACTATACTTCGGACCCCCAGGAGATGCCGCTCCAGTCCTCGATACCACCATTGCCTCTCTCAATGGGGGCAAGTGAGCAACCGTCGACGGCTCGCGGACAATACACCTATGTGCAACAGCCGGCTTCGGGCTCCCAGCTGCCGGCCAGCACGAGCACACCAGCGGTGAGCGGCCATGCGGATAGCGCTCTGAGCGTTCCCAGATACGTCGACAACGGCCGGCCAAACAAGAGCCCCCGCCAGAGCGGCCAGCAATCCGTTCACGGTGCCAACTCCATCAACAGCAGCGAATCGCCCGAGTACCGATATGGATCGTCTACGCAGGGGTCCGCCTCGTCGAGGGAATACTATCCGCCGTCACAAGCATGGTCTACCACGACGGCCGGGGAAAATAGTTCGAGCACAGCCTATGCCAGCACTGACGCACGACCGTACTCGTTTCCCCATGAGCCATACAAGGCGGGAACAGCAACTGGATCATCAGTCAAGACCGAGTCGCGGGCGTCTTTTGAGCCCATGCACAACTACTCCTGGCATGGCAACTAAGACTTGCGACATCATCCGAGCCGCTCCCAGGACACGACTCAAACACTGACTATACCTTTGCTGCTGCATCTTAAGGACAGGGTGTTTTACTGAGGCAGTCTATTCCTTTCTGTTTGCTCTCTTTTGTATTTGTTTGTACTTTATGGTGGATTCTTTCTTATCATTTTGTTTTCTCACGATGGATTGAGCATGTGTACAATGACACTTTGATACTGCGGCGTCTGTGGCGAGTTCTTGGGAGACTTATTCCAGGAGGGGTTCACTTCTATGGAGGATATACATACACATACACATACATGTATATACACATACATATACCCACATGCACGACTTTATATGTGTGTGTATCTGGTATGTATATATAAGGGAAACACTTGGGACTTTGGCTAGGTATCTGATGGGATCGAGGGCCATGAAAAAAGCAAATGGGAAATCTCGTCCGGTATGGAGTAAAGGTCACGTTTGATGGTCGGAGTTGGGGAGACGAGGATATGGCCAGGATGCTGGGCGATGCTGAGATACCACGATAGTAGCAATATTGAAGACGAGTGATTGGTGTCTCTGTTAGCGATATCAGTGAATATGCCAAAGTGATTCATGTGAGGCTGCGCTTGGGAGAGAGGCAGGCTGAAAGAGGATAGATACGTACTCGGAAGATTGGTAGAAGTACATGCAACAGCCTTGACGTGAGGGGGACTTTTGTTCATGACATGGGATAGGGGTGAGTTGGTATATCGCTCAGCTTATCATTGTCATTCTAGCTGCCTAAGTAGGATGAGGATAGAAACACGGGAGGAAAAGAATCCATAGATCTGAGAAGAGAAAATACAGGAGAGACAAATGTCTAGAAGAAAAGATCAGTTGAAAAAGGGGGGGTGGAAGCAAAAGAGGAAATAGAGGAAAAGCCTCCCCGTATCTATGCGGCGAGTCCATGGCTAATTCTGTGCGTGAAGATTGACTGTCTAATAATGCACGCAGGCATGAGAATACGACCCAAGGGTGTCACGACAGCCACGCCTTTGCTCAAGAGACTTCAGTATACGGAGTACATGATGCAAGGTATGTTGTGTAGCAATGCAGCGCGCAAGCAACCTCACGGTAGGTAAAGTGGGAAGGCCATATACACAACATGCGTGGCTGGCGCCCCCCCTTCTTTTATTTTTATTTTTGAGAAGTAATGAACCGCGGCGTGGTATCGGTTGAGGATAAATGCGCAAAAATAGATTAACGGGCAACCCCTTGAGAAGTATATTGAAAGAGAGAGGAAAGAAAAAAAAGGGTTGGAAATACGGCTAATTTGGAATTCGTTGTCCAATCTATTTGAATCTGATTCGGGATTTTTTTTCTGGGACGGGTGAATTATTAGTCCTTTGAATTAGGGAATGTTGCTTGCTTGGCTGAGTTTGGGCTCGGAGCGTGGGGACCGAGAAGTGATTGTGATGTGAATATGAAGTGTCATTTCTTGTTGGGTTGGTTGGTTTATCTTGGAGAATATATATCCGTGATTGGGGGCGGTTAGACAAGACTCTACGGGTTCTTGATCAGGAACCGAATGACGACAATGATGACGATGGTAGTGATGACAGGCGGAAGCTTTTGTGAAGGCGGCAGGAGCAGGAGAAGTTCACTATCAAGAACCGGCCAAGATCAATGAAGTCGTCGCCAGTTCTACCAGTTATGCCGGGATGAAGTGTGGGGTACTTTGGCCAAGGGCGGATTTGTATGGGAGAGGTAGGTACCTAGCACCGAGTGCTTAGCCGTGGTGGTGGTTGTCCAAAGACAGCTGTGCTGCTTAGATAAGCGGCTGTTCAACTTTACTTTTCTTTGCATCGTCTCGTCTTCAAGATACATCCAATCTTCGAAAACGCGATACATACCAGATACCCGTTTGTTTCGACTCATTTGGAGACTGGATATTCTCATTCTGGTGATTTTACGACTTACTTTACTTGACACAACGGCAGCCCGTACTTGCAATTGGACGGGGGAAGAATTCACCATCTCGTTTCTTCTCAGCCGGGAGAGCCGCCATGTTTGAGGTACCTGATGCGAAGAGGTATGCGCATCCCTTTTCCCCTTCTGGGGCCCTGGACTGTGCTCGTATGTGAGGGTTAACATGCTCTGCAGAGTCCGCCGAGAAGAGTTGCACGCATCGGATGAGTCCTCATGGAGCGAGAGTGAAGTAGACGCCGAGCTGGAGGCAAGGCTCAATGCGCAAATCGCCAAGTCACTGGGCATAGACGAAAGCGCCTATCGTCCACCGCAGCCCCCAGTCACCTTGCCTGTGCTTGAAAGGCCGCAGGCAAAGGGTAGACCAAAAAATGAGGCGCTCAGCTCTGATTCAGAAAGCGAACCGGACACCCCCGTTGGCGATTCTACGCCCAGCGACCAAGGTGGCGAAGAAGCCGAGGATGAAGGCTACGCATTCCGGCTCTTCAGCACGGCTGGCCCGGCGCCCAAGGTCGTGTTGGAGGATTACGACAAAGTAGTAGAGGGGAAGATTCTCAGGGGTCCGCCGTTATCATACTACTTGGCAACAGACGTGTCACCCGAGAAGAAGCGCGAGTATGAGGTGGCAGCCGTGAGCGGCGAAGACGTCCTTGCGCGATCCAAAGTGAGGCACTGGGGCCTTGAGCTCCCCTGGAAAGTCACGAGCATCAAAACAACAAGAAAGGCCCGCCCCGGGGAAGCGGTAAACCACGACGCGCAGATGGAAGGCGAGCAGCAGGCGAGGAGGAAGCGGCCGGGGAAGAAGAGCAGAATTGCGATGCGGAAGAAGGCAAGGGCGCAGGCGCAGGCGGAGGAGGAGGCGAAGAAGAAGATGGCGGACAAGGAGGAGCAGATCAAGGAGAAGAAGAAGAGGCTGAACCGCTTGAAGAAGCTGAGGAGGCGGGCGCAGAAGAAGGCCGAGAAGGGCGAGAATGGTGAGGGCGGCGGCGGCGGTGGTGGTGGTGGATCGGGAGAGGGTTCTTCTGACGAGGAGTGAGAGAGAGACGCTTCTTGCAGATTGGTGACGTGCTGTAACCTGTATATATAGAAGACAATGGTAAATATATAAAGATGGATCTATTTTGATTTGAGCTGTAAATACCCCTTTCTCAGACTCCTACAGTCTCATACTGATGAGATTTGAACGTCCGTGATGGATGGATGGCCAAGTGGTAGCTCGAGGTATCTGCTCAGCGCTCGCGACCGCACTAGTACCTCAGGGGACATGAAAGTGTCCAGCCAATGGGGGAGCTCCCACCGACCCCTCCAGCCACAGCGTCGTGCCTTCAATTGCCATCGAGCTCCCAATCGACGTTGCTGGAGCTGCAACAGACCGTCGTCACCAGCGCCGACACGCGACATCTCGCCTCACCAGCATCTTTTGCTGTGATACCGCGTCTTCACTTCATCCGTCCTCGAGCAGCTGTATCGTACAGACTCCATGGCCTAACCAACACCCCACCCCTGAAGCAGAATATTCGGCGGCACCCCGCAATGTGCCACTGCTACGAGCATCGAGAAACCACGACGTCGCATCGCCCATGATGAACAGCTTGTGGTCTTCAGCGAAACCTGCCCCGGAGTCGTCGAGCGAGGCTCCCACCGAGGCAGCGGAGGAGGCTGTCGAGACCCCCCAAGACGAGTCCGCGATTGACGACTCGGCCGATCCATCGCCAGCTCCTCAGCTGCCGCCACTTTCGACGTCCAGGGGCGCCTCTCAGCAGTCGCAACAGCAACAGCCGCAGCGGCAGTCCAACTCTACACAAGGCGGCGCCTCGATGATGCCCTCTGCGAGCAACCAAAACAACGCCGGCAATCGGTCGCAAGCTCCCCAGCATGCTCCCACCGACTCGCTGTCGCTGATGCAGCTGCGGCACATTGTCGCCAGGGTCAATGCTGCTGACCCCGCGGCATACGACTTTGTCTACTCGGACATGGGGCCGCACGCGGAGGAGATTGACGAGTGGTTCGTGTACCAGTTCTGGCAGTGGGTGCGCCTTAACGCGGCGCAAAAGGCCTTTGAGTGGCACTGGAAGCACGAGTCGGGCGGCAAGCACGGGTGGGACGACGCCGACCACGATACCAGGGCGAGGTTTGTGCAGGGCGCCATTGCAGGCGTGCAGAGCAACGACGCGGCGCTGAGGGCGAACTCGATTGGCAAGATTATGTATCTCGTCTTGGGCAGATGGGGGGACACGGCGATGCCGCACGCGACGGACGAGAACAGCCGGTCGATTGCGAGCATCCCGCAGCTCCAGGCGATGAAGGCTGGCGTGGCGTGTTTGACGTCTCTGGGAGGGATACCAGTCATCTGGCAAGCGCTGAGGGACGTCTTTGAGATTCACTGGTACGGTCCATGAATCGCACGCGGTGCAAGAGCTTTGAAAACGTTTACAGGAAGTCTGACGCAAGGACAGGTCTGGTGATATCCAACAAGGCAGTGCGCAGGATGCTCAGGATGAATTGATGAATCTCCTGACCATCATGTACATTGTGGTCCAAGAGACGTTGAACGACCCCGAGGATATGGCCTCAACAGAAGCAAAACTACGTATGTATTACAAAGTTATTTCATGGGTCACTCGTTGAAGAGATGAGGACAAAGGAAGGAAAGAAGACGCACAGGCTGACTTGGAACGCGTAGTTGAGCTGAATCCCTCCCTGGTCGATTTCATGATGCTGGCGACTTCCAAGCTGAGATGGGATGAACAAAACACCATGCCCCATACCCAGGTGAGCGAACCCACAGCGCTTAAACGAGCTCTTGTGTTTGGAAAGTCTCATTGTTGACGAACGGCGTACAGATCTTCCTGCTGTTCTGGAAATCCATCCTTCTTGTCTTCGGCGGAACAGAAGACCTCAAGCGTGTCAAGGAGGCCACCAGCGAGCTTACAGGCGGTGATAAGAGCAAAGATACCATCACGGCCTCGCCCCTGGACTATCACGTCTTTCGCCAGGAAGTCACCTCGAAATACCCGGCCTATGTCCCGCCACAGCCCTTGATACCGCTAGAGGCGGACAATTCGTCGCTTCTTCCACCTCTGCCTAATATGACGAGCCGCAGTGTTGCCAACGGCATCATCCCCCAGCCGCCCAACGTACAACTGGGAGGCGCATCCATCCTCAACCAGCCAGTGCACATTGCCACTCCAGCGCCATCACCGCCGCCGTCCCCAGGCGTCGGCGGGAAAGGAGGCAAGAAGCAAAACTACCAGACCAACCAAAACTTTCCCTTCATGTACCCTCCTCTCGATGCCACCAGTAACAGTGCTGGCGGGAAGGGCGAAGCGGGATATGGCAACCCTCTGGTGTCTAGAAAGTGGGAGGGTAGCGATATTCCCGCCTCAATCCTCGAGGCTGGGCAAATCTTTTCCTCGCGTGTCAGGATGACCCGAGCAACTCGTCAGCTCTGGGAGGAGCGAGAGCGATTCCTCAAGTTTGAACGCGGCTGGGAAGCTGATGATGACGCTGATGAAGACGACGACGATGACATTGAGGATCTCGACCTCAATGAGCTCACATTGGAGGAGAAGGAAGTGCTGCGCGAGCTGAAGGCCGAAGATAAAAAAGAGAAGAAGAAGAAGGAGCGGTCATTCCCAGGCCCGGAAGTCGACTTTGGTCCTCAACCAGAGAGGCTGAGCGAACGAGACAAGCAGCGGCTCATTGCCGTGGAACGTTTTTATGTAAGTGTGCCGTGTTCCTGACCCCTCCGTCCCTTCCCTTGGATATAAGGCTAATGTGGGTTTGTAGGCCAATGCCTTGCCTCATCTCCAGTCCATTGTGATTGTTTTGCTCCGCCCAATCCTTGTTAATGTCACGGCTATTGTGGCCCAGCAGCAGAATCAGATGGCAGGAATGACCAGCAGGGCCAACAACCCTGGTATTAATGGCGGCCATGGGTCGCAGAGGGGCATGGATATGAACGCACAAGGCCAGCAAGAGCAGGAAGCAGAGCCGTCTCCTGAGGAAATTGACGCCACTCGAACACGGGAAATCACGTCAAAGGCTATGACTGCCATCCTCCTTCTCCTCCTGAAATGGCTCAGAGTCTCGCGTGAGTACTGCCTTGAGAAGAATTGCTGTCGTGGATGTCTCCGCTGACAATGCTGTGTGTCTCAGATGTTCTCAAGTTTGAGTACTTGACTCAACTGCTGTTGGACTCAAACTATCTTCCCCTAGTGCTCAAGCTGTTTGCGCATCAGGACATTCAACAAGTGGTCGACAGTAAGATGGACCATGCTGAGAACAGGTACTAGATGGCCCCCCTATTCCGAGAAAACGTGCATGTCATGGCCTTGATTTGCTTACTCTTTGACTGTAGCTTTTTCCAATTTTGCAACATCCGATCTAGATTCAAGGATAAGACCGAGAGTGACGAGGCTGGCAATGAGGGAGGAGACGTGGCCGATGCAGACGGCCAAGGCGAAGGCGGCGACGGGCAGCAACCAGGAGGAGAAGACAGCGAGGATGACGCAGCGCCGCCGCCGATTAGAAGACAGCGAGAGACGGAGGAGGCGGAAGTGGACCAGATGGAGGACGTGGCCTGCGACGGCGTAGAGGACGTCCGGATGCGGCCGGAGGTGGACGAGATGGGGGTCCCCCTGAGCAACATCCCCATGGAGCCCATCACCGACTTTTCGCGGCGCAACTTCTTCTCCCTGATCAACTACCTGCGGGTGATGCAAAAGATATGCAAGAACAAGGCGCACCGCAACCTGCTGCTCGTGCAGTACAAGTCATCCACCATCCTCAAGAAGTCGCTGCGGGTGCCGCAGCCCGAGCTGCGGCTGTACACGCTCAAGCTCTTCAAGGGCCAGGTGCCGTACTGCGGGCGCAAGTGGAGGCAGTCCAACATGCGCGTCATCACAGCCGTGTACCTGCACTGCCGGCCGGAGCTGCGGGACGAGTGGCTTGCGGGCAGCGACATTGACGCCGAGGTGGACTCGGCGCTGCCGCTGGAGCAGGCGCTGCGGAGCCTAACGCACTGGCTCAACGTGCGGCGGTACCCGGAGCGCATCGCGGCCGACATCCGCATCGCCATGAGGGAGGAGCAGGACTTTTTCTCGCGGGAGCTGGAGAAGGCGGATCTGAACTGGTCCGATCTCATGGTTGGGGGGGACGATGCGATGAGTGAGGTGGATCATGGGGAGTCGACCTGGGGTTGAGATTTGCATGATGGTTGCCCTCCTCCTTTGTTTTCAATTTTGCATGTTTCTGGCAATGAGCGAATGATAGCACTGGGGACTGAAATGTTTTCACAGGAGCGGTTCAGGGGGGGTTCTTGAGCGCAGACTGTGGCAGCATTTGGTTTTTTTCTCTTATGATACTGACCATGTCAAGACGATAAAACTCTACACGGCGCATGATATGCTTATTTCTGCCTTGTGAAGATATAAAGACAAGATGTTCTTGTTAATTCATTACTATTAATTGGAGCTGACAAAAGTCAAAAACTCTTGTGGGGTGGATTGCTAACCCTTCCCCCTTATCTCTACATGGATATTGATATTCATTCATAGTTGACAGGGACCCCTAGAGGCCAGTATTCCTCTCATGGGAATCCGACAAAGGGTTGATGCTGTTTCCTCCCACTGATGCTCAATCAGCGTGAGCCATATATACATTCAATCATACACGGTTTTTTGTTGGTTATCTGTCTGGTGGGTGGGGGGGTATTTCGTTTGTCTCGTTTCCGGCCGTTCATGGCAGCATCCCCTGATAGTGACTGTACATCTTGGGACAGGTCTCTATTAACGCTGAGCATGGTCGTAGATGCCGTCGTCGTAGCGGTAGTTGACCGGCTGGCCATATCCAGCCGTGCCCTGGGGAGCCGCATACCCGCCGGCGCCAGCATACGCAGTGGTGTTGGTAGTAGCAGCCGGCCCCGTGACGCCCGAGTAGCCGTACCCAGTCTCGTACTTGTTGTTGTAGTCGGTGTGGACGTAAGGGTTCGAGATGTCGTTGTTGTCCGCGTGGTGGTGGTGGGCATTGAGCTGGTCGGGCTGCGGGTGCGCGGGCAGCATGTTGCCCTCCTCGCTGGCGTCGACGACCTTGCGCCCGCCGAGGAAGCGCCCGAAGAAGCCCGGCTTCCGGGTGCTGGTGCTGGCGGTGCGGCCGAAGCCAGACGTGTAGTCGTTGCGGGGGCTGGGCCCGTAGCGCTTCTCCTTGCGGTGGTGGCGCGCAAGGGCGACCTCCATGAGGATGGAGAGGATGTAGAAGAAGATGGCGATGATGGAGACGGCGAGGCAGGCCGTCTGCAGGCGGCACGCGGTGTGGAAGCTGGGCAGGGTGGTGAAGCCGCTGTGGGCCTTGACGGTGGCGTCGGACTGGCCCTTGCCAAAGGGCGTGTCGAGCACGCCGTCGCAGGTGCCGGCGCCGTTCTTGTTGGCGACGGCGACGTAGACGAAGGCGCCGATGAAGCAGATGTCGAGGACGACGCCGAACAAGGCCGTCAGGGTGCGGCCCGCGAGGCAGCAGAGCGTCAGCAGGGCCAGCAGCGCGTAGGCCACGGCCGCGCCCGAGATGCCCTCGACGGCGCGCAGGCTCGTGGCGATGGGCAGGTGGTGGTTGTGCAGGGTCGCGAGGAAGTAGGAGTAGATGGCGAGGACGATGGCGGCGCAGCAGAACTGGATGCCGCGGACGAACCACTGGACGAATTTGAGGCCGAAGCCTGTTCGGGCGCCCATGATGGATGCTTTTTGGCTTTTTTTTTTTGCCTGGTTTGAAGAGTCTATTTGAGTGGTGATGGGATGGGATAGGATGATGATAGGATGAGAGGACAGGAGAATCGTTTGCAAAGTTGTTGAGAGAGGAGGAGGATGAGGTGGAGGATGAGGTGGAGGATGAGAAGAGCGAGGAGAGAAACGTCAGAAGAGCGGTATGAAGAATCAAACCCCGGAATAAATAAAGCCCCGTCTCGTTTACGCAACCAAAGGACCCAAAAGAAGCGGACACAAGATCAACACTCAATGGATTCATTAGCTGAAGAATGCCGCTTCTAAACAGAACAAGAAAGCCGAGCAGATGATCAAGATCCAGTCTTTTTTAGTTATCTTCATCAAAGTGTGGCTTGCGCGCACTGCACACATTTCTTTAGAGGGGCTCACATGCTTTTTTCTTTGGTTGGTTTGTGGCGGGGCAGTTCGTTCGTTTCGTTTCGTCGTCACTGGATGACGTACTGCCGTGCCCCTTGCACCTGTGGCTGAGGCGGTGCTCCATCAAGGTGGGTTTTGTTGCTTGAATGGAGATGCAGCTGAGGTGGCGATTGGATGGGTTACGGTTAAGGAGATGCTTTTTACGTCAGTGGTGAAAGACTTTTTTCTTTTCATGGGCCGAGATCTCTTGACTATCTTGACTATCTACCTTAGCTGGAGGCAGCCGGCCTGAATGTATCGTATGTAGAGTTAAGCTTGGGATGGATCGGTACTCGTAGTACTTGCATGTTGTGTTGAGATGCAAGTCAATTTGGAGGTATCGGTACGTTGCTCATGGTGCTGCTGAACCAACTGTGGCTGTGCAGCCATACAGAAACCCTCTGCATCGCCAGTTTTCGCCTCCTCAAGTCAAACTTGTTCCAACAAAGAAACACTGCAAACCAAACTCAATTAGCCATATTGAAGCAAAACTTCAGCTGTAGTTGGAAGAAAGATTGACTCTTCGGAAAGAATGTCTCACTGGAGTGAAACAGACAGGGCTGAAGAAACCGAGACACAAACCCAACACAGGAGCATGAGACGAAACAACAAGTCTCCTCCCCCCACCAAACGGGTTCGTGCGTTTTTAAAGATCTGACCGGACGGAAACATGCAAGGGGCAAAACGAGACAAAAAGGCAGCGCCACCGGAGAAAAAGAATACTATGTAGGCATCGTCGATCACACACGCAGGCGAGACACAAACAGAGACATGCAGCCGAAATACTTATACTAGTAGTACTATGAGGTGTAGCCAGTGGAGGCTCCAACGAGATTCAAAAGAGAACAAGTCAGACGCCACGCCCTTTCGAGTCTTGCGCGTGCAAGTTGCAATGTCTGACCGGTGCTGCTGCTGTGACTGAGCAATTGACATTTACTGTACTAGGTAATTGACTTGAAGCACTTCTGTTGCTTCTGTCTTGTCAACTTGACCTTTGGCAAAGGCGCATGTGTGCATGTGCAAGTCAAAGGGCGCAATGCTTCAGACGGAAGACACGTACTACAAGGCACCGACATACTGTAGTACTACCTAAGACGCAGCAGCCAGTCAGAGTGAGACAAGCCAACCCCTCACTAGCAGCAGAGAAATCTTTCCATGCCTCGTTGCCCGATATAACCTCCATTTTCAGCCTGTATAAAGATCGTCAGCGAGCTTATAGATACGTCATCACCCAAACACTCACTTATTGTTCCATTCATCCAATCATTCATTCCAGTTGTATTCAGCGTGCATCAGGCATCAGCGCATCCAATCTTAATATCCCATCCGTCAGTGCGGACTCGCTCTCACACCTTCAGTCATTTGCAGCAATGGGGTCCAAGCCCAACATGAAGATCCCCTACATAGAAACACCACTCATCAAATCCAACTCTCTCTCAGAAGTAGCCGGCTGGTAAGCGCACCCGTAGTGACTACATAGTATTTTCCGTCCCTTTACTTACCACCATCCCAGCAATGTCTTCCTCAAGCTGGAGAACCTCCAGCCCTCAGGGTCCTTCAAGTCTCGCGGCATAGGCAACTACATGGTGGCCAAGCTCGCCGCGCAAGGGCCCGACGCCGCCAAAGCCCACTTCTACTGCTCCTCAGGAGGCAACGCCGGGCTGGCCTGTGTCCACGCCGCCATTACACTGGGCTGCCAGGCCACCATCATCGTCCCGCTGTCCACGACTGCGTACACCATCGACAAGCTGCGAAAGGCCGGCGCCTCAGATGTGATTCAAATGGGTGCCTCATGGCAAGAGGCCGATGACTATCTCACAGGCATTCTGATGGAGGAAGCCCGTGCTAAAGGAGACGTAGCCATCTACGTGCCTCCGTTCAACGCACAGGAGATTTGGGATGGCAACGCGGGCATCTCGCACGAAATCGCAAGGCAAATTCCCACAATGGTCAAGCACTATCCGGTAGCCGTGGACGGCGCAACAGATGACGATGCTACGGCACGCATAGCCGATGTCGATGCCATCATTTGCAGCGTCGGCGGAGGCGGCCTCTTGTCAGGTGTTGTGCAGGGTCTCGACGACCTGTCCATGAACCAGACTCGAGTCATTGCTGTCGAAACATTAGGAACAGACTCACTTCATCAGGCGGTCCAAAAGGGCGAGCTAATCACGCTGCCCGCCATCACCAGCCTCGCCACCACTCTCGGCGCGAGAACCGTCTGCCAGAGAGCCTTTGAGTACGGGCTCCGTGACCAAGTCTCAACCGTGGTCCTCTCCGACGCTGAGGCCATTGCCGCTTGTAAGCGGTTCGCTAGCGAGGAGCGCTTTCTCGTCGAGTTATCGTGCAGCGTCTGTCCTGCCGTCGTGTACAGCGGCCGCTTGAAGGAGCTGGTTCCCGGCCTCAACAAGAATAGTGTCATTGTGCTTGTAATATGTGGAGGGTCCAATATATCGTACGAGATATTGGAGCAATATCTCTCAACCCTGGCTACCGAACAAACGAGCTGATAGGTCTAGAACAAAACTGAGGACAAAACAGAATGGACATGCTGCGGACGATGAATCTAGACTGCTCTCCGAGCAAGGGACGGCCCGCAGCATTGCTCCGCGAGACAGGGAAAGTGGCAAGCCGGACAGAAAGAAGCGTAAATTTAGACGTGGCTGGAGGCGTCCGATTCATTGCTGGTAGCATCAACCAATGTCACCATGGCGTTCGGAGTCTTCCCCGGGAGGGGTTTCTCTTCTTCTTTCGTTCTCCAACTCCAGCTGGACCAGGAGGACTTTCTTGGCGTGTTACTCTCGGGTAAAGTCAAAGGCCCAAAGGAGAATCGAGCAGTGGCTGAATGGTCACTTTCATATATTCTGTCGCGTGCCCTCTGAGTGCCAGTGCTCCCTTCCGGAAATAATATGTTTAGCGAAATATAGAAGTGCTCCTCTAAGCCGTGAGGCTGATCAATATAGCAGCACCCTTATGGTTGCATGGCGGAGGAAGGGGCCGGCTTCTCGGCAACTTTCCCGGCCGAGGAAAGATTTTGCACAGCCCGGTGGTGCAAAACGCAGAGATGTGTGATGTTGGATTTGCCGTGGGGACTGGGCTTTTTGTTCTCGGCCTGTTTCATTCCGCTGTTGAATGATGGCCAACCTGCAGGTCGTCGAGTAGACTCATCACAGGCGTTGCATTGTGAACCGAACGCAACTGCACGGCGGTAGCGAAGCCGGCGAACGCCAGAAGCACCTACGGCCAATTTCTGTGGCGAGGATCCGCGAGGGACCAGGATCCCTCAAGCGACTGCCCACGAGAAGCGGAGAGGGTGTGGACGGGCTGCAGCTCACTGCTCAGATGCAGGCGAACGGGACCGTGAAGGAAAGTGGCGTCCTTCATGTGCTCACTTACATACGTGCATTGTACATGGTGGCGCTTCGACCTCTTTCAGGTTGCTCGTTTTGAGGACCCTCTGATACGCAAAACCTCACAGATCCCCCCAGACGAGGATGGGAAAGAAGAAGAACCAGGCCAAGAGAAGCTCGTATGCGGTGTGACCCGTTGCTTTGCTGTGTAAATGTTCTCGAGTGCGCTGTGAGGCAGCTTCCGGTGAGGTGGAGCCATATACTTCTCTTGGAGGTGACAGAATAATCGAGACAGGGAGCATCTGTGCCTGTGCGAAGTATTCGCGACTGGTCTGCGTATGATTAATAAAGCAAGCCATTTATTGGCTTGTTGCTCAATGGAGCCAAGACACAAGCTCTCAATCTGTCATGGCTTGCGATCAATTGAGCAAAGAGCCAAAAGGAGGGACCCTGTTCGTGGTAGCAGTATTGAGAACCTGCAGCAACAATGTGCCCCCGCGGCAACCACACGCGGGCAAAGTGCTGCTCACGATCCGTTGTGTATGCGCTGAAGGCACTGTTTGACTCAACGCAAAAGTCGTTTGCTCCTCCTTTGCTTTGTTTTCGTTCCATAAGCGGAAGATGCATTCAGGAGGTTGTGCCGAAGCCCATGCCACCATCATCTCCATTTAAGGTGACGGAAACGAGAGCCTAGACTTTATCAGAGCAGCCAGGTGATTTGCGGTGCGTGTCACCCACATCCACAAGGCTAGTAGTCAGTTGAACTCTCGTAATCCCAAGGTGTAACCATCGCCTCTCTCTTGGCGGCTTGCGGCACAGCCCAGGTGAAATGAGCTCGTTGTACGAAGCATTGCGGGTGATGCCTTGCAAATCGTGCTAGCAGCCCGTCCTGGGCTTCAAGGTTTGCACTACGGCTGGCTTCCGAGAGTATCGATCACGCTGCCCCTGGTGAGCAGCGGCTACTAAGCCGATCTGGTGATAGCCGGCGCCTCCCAAGATCCTCACCGGGAAGCGCTGATAGCACTTTGGTACTGATAGTAAGACTAACGCCAAGATGCCGGATAGCCAGCCTTGGCCGCCCTTCCACGTCTATAGTCGTGCAAGTACCTCGTAAAGGCAGTCGAGCGGATACGGAAGTGGGAGGGAGGGAATACTAACTGCTTTCTGATTGTCAGTACATATCAAGCGTATTGCGGGAGAGGACTCTTTGTCTGCTCGTTCACCTCGTCTACCCTGCCAAGCCGGTCGTTCTTTGGCAAGATGGAACATTGAAGCATCAGCCAGCATCACCACCGTCTTTCAGCTGCCAGAAGCCGCCCAAATAGAGCACGTCGGCCACTATTGATGCTGCCTGGAAAACCAATATTGCGACCTGTACGGAGGTCATCCATGCCCACATGCCGCTACGGGCCAGCAGACAAGGGATGATGGAGGTGGGGAAGCGTGAGCGGCGGGTTCGTCATCCGGCCTGTTCAGCCCGCAGGGATCCATTCCGTTCCGGCTTGGACTTGTGAGCGTTGGTGAGAGGAGAGGGAATGATGATATTGAGCACGTAGGCGAGAGGTTGTAGATACATGCAGGAGCCAGAAGGTCGGGTCACGGCATCTGGAAGGTGGATTCAGCTTATCACTTGTTCCCTACAGAGGTTGGGTGTGCTGTGATTTGCTGCGGCCGCTGCAAACCACCCACTGAAAGGCCCCGGAACCCCCCAAAGGGCCCCTAGAGGTCTTGGGCTTGGGGCCTGAGAGTGCCTGAAGTGCCTCGACGGTGGGCTAATGCAGGTCGGCTGCCAAAAATACGAGAACGACCTGGACAACTCAACCCTTGCAGCCTCGCATCTCTCCAATCGAGCGTCTCAATCCCGCCACTCCGGGCTGAAGACATGGGTTCTGCTGGTTGCGTTGCAGCGAGCAGAAGTCTGTCGACGACTGCAAAGGCCATGGACGGCGAACCAGAGCAGAGCCCAGCTGCAGCAGCTGCAGCCTCCATCGCACGACTTTCTGGCGCGATGCAGCTGCAGCCTCACCACCCTCCACCGAAGGAATCTGCTCTCTGTCTGTCTGTCTCTTTCGCTCGTTTCCTTTTCTTCTCTCTCTCTCTCTCTCTCGTTTGTATACACACGCTCGCTCTCCCATTCTTTAAAAAGGCCATGAGTCTGCCCGCTTGGTTCCCTGAAATCTGAGGCCATCCACGCTCGCTCGTTTGTGCGCTTGTGTTGAGATAAGAGCAAGAAGGGGACCGCAACACCATCGCAGCAACTCGTTGAGCTGCCACCGGCGACAAAGCCTCTGTCTTTGCGCCGTCTTCTTTTCCACCATCTGCCCGAGCGCTCTTCACAGGGTGACAGGCTTCCTCAGTCCATCCCACTATGAAGTCGACAGCTGCCCTGGTGGGCCTTCTGGGCCTGGCAGGCTCAGCCCTGGCTGATCCGACATGGCCCAACGCAGTCGACGAAATTGAGGAGATCATGACCCAGCTGCAGTCGTTCCGCGCCCGCAAATTTGCCGACACGGTGAGCCCGTGCTCCAACGAGGCCTCGGGGCCCGGCCGGCAGAACGCCGCCGAGTGGCTCCGGGTCGGCTTCCACGACATGTCCACGGCCAACACGTACTTTGGCATTGGAGGCCTTGACGGCTCGCTGCAGTACGAGCTGGACGACGGCGAGAACACCGGGCCCGGCCACAGGACGACGCTCGAGTTCATGGCTCCCTATGTCTCTCCCCGGTCGACCCTGGCCGACCTCATCGCCCTGGGCGTCTACACGTCTGTCCGCTCCTGCGGTGGCCCTGCTGTGCCGATTCGCGTTGGCCGCATTGATGCCACCGGCAAGGGAGCTCCAGGTGTCCCTCAGCCGCAAAACTCCGTCGCCACGTTCAAGCAGCAGTTTGACCGCATGGGCTTCAGCGTCGAGGAGATGATCCAGGTCACGGCCTGCGGCCACACCTTGGGCGGCGTCCACAACACCGAGTTCCCCGACATTGTTCCCACCGGAACCGGCATCGACGGTGAGGCGGGTCTCGACTCGAGCGATGCTGTCTTTGACAACCTTGTTGTCACCGAGTATCTCTCCGGCGAGACCAAGAACCCCCTCGTTGTCGGCCCGTCGGTCAAGATTGACAAGAACTCCGACTTCAAAGTCTTCAATGCCGATGGCAACCAGACCATGGAGGCTCTAGCCGATGCAGACACTTTCAAGTCCGTCTGCAAGACTGTCTTGCAAAAGATGATTGAAGTTGTGCCCCCGAGCGTCAAGCTGACCGATCCCATTGTCCCCTACAAGGTCAAGCCTGTCAACCTGCAGCTGACCCTCATCAACGGCGGCAGCACCCTCCAGCTGACGGGCTTCATCCGCGTCAAGACTACTGGCCTTGCTCAGGGCAGCATCTCCAGCGTGTCCATCACCTACAAGAACCGCAAGGGCACCACCGACTGCGGCCTCAGCACCTGTGTCGTCACCAGCACCGTCCAGGGCGCCAGCCAGGGCTTCGACGATACCTTTGCCTTCTACCCCATCTCGGTCAACATCCTTGCCTCCTCAGGCATCTCGTCTTTTACCGTCACCGTCAACAATGCCGACGGCACCAAGGACGTCTACGACAACAATGGCAACGAGTATCCTGTCCAGGATGCCATCATCTTTCAGTCGCCCCAGAGCTGCGTCCTCGGCTCCTCGGGCGCTCTGACGGCCGTGGCTGCTGTCCGCAACGACCGCCTCAGCCAGGGCGCGCAGGTCAGGGTCTGGTACAAGACGCCTCAGACGAACAGCCCCGTTCCTCTGCTGCAGAACACCACCATGGATCTCAAGAAGGGCCAGTGTGCCGGAGCGTACACTCTATTCAACGTCGACTACACCATCCAGGGCGGCCTGGCCTACGAGGGATACGTCGACGTCATCAACGGTGACCAGTCCGACAGCTTCAAGGCCCTCACCGGCGTTGGCGGTACCTGCCGTGCCTTTGCCAACCCGGCTGCCTGCGTCGGCGGAGACGATGATGGATCTGGTGGCACGACGTCCGTCACAACCGGCTCAGCCACGACTGAGGCTCCCCCTACTACCACGGAGCCTCCTGTCACGGAGCCTCCCACGACATCAGAACCTCCCACTACGACGGAACCTCCCACGACATCAGAACCTCCCACGACGACGGAACCTCCCGCGACGTCAGAGCCTCCCACGACGACGGAACCTCCCACGACGTCAGAGCCTCCCACGACATCAGAGCCTCCCACAACAACGGCGCCTCCCCCTGTCACGGAGCCTCCAACGACGACGGCGCCTCCAACGACGACGACACCAGTTCCTACTCCCAGCCATCGCCCTTCAGTCGACGGATATGTGCTGATTTCTTGCTGGACTGAGGGTGATGGTACGCGTGCTCTGGCTGGCAACGCCTATGCCAACGACTCGATGACCCTGGAAACCTGCAGAGACTTTTGCAGCGACTATGTCTACTGGGGTACAGAGTATGGCCGCGAATGTGAGTTGTCTACCTTTTCCTGTTGACTTGGTCTCCCGAATCGTCCTCGAGCTAACATGCCACCCAGGTTACTGCGGCAATACGCTTGCCAAGAGCAGCGCGGAGGCTCCCATTGACGAGTGCAACATGGTATGCAGTGGTGATGCTAGTGAATTCTGCGGTGCTGGCAACCGCCTCGAGCTGTACTCGACCACGGCCACCCAGCCTCCCGCTCCCACTGGCACCCTGACCCACGAGCCCACTGTCGGCCCATACACACTGGTGGGCTGCTGGACGGAAGGCTCGGGGGATCGCGCTCTGGGCCAGAAGGCTACCATCGACCCTGACATGACCAACGAGGCCTGTGCCGAATTCTGCTCCGACTTCAGGTACTTTGGCACGGAGTATGGCGACGAATGCTACTGTGGTAGCTTCCTTGCTGGCTCGAGTGCAACCGCTCCCCTGGCCGACTGCAACATGCCCTGCGCCGGCAACCAGTTCGAGTACTGCGGTGCCAGCAACCGCCTCGAGCTTTACATCAACCCCAACGTGACTGGAGGAGACCCTGAGCAGCCCGCTGCTGCGGGCGATTTTGTGTTTGTCGGCTGCCAGACCGAGGGCAACGGCACCCGTGCTCTTACGGGCGCTGCCACCGCAACCGGCACCATGACCGTCGAGGCCTGCGCTGAATTCTGTGACGACTTTACGTACTTTGGCACCGAGTATGGCAGCGAATGTTATTGTGGCAACACATTGGCACCGTCATCTCTCAAGGCGCCGGCGGCGGACTGCAACATGCTGTGCAGCGGCAACGAGCTTGAGTACTGTGGTGCGGGCAATCGCCTCTCACTGTACACCAAAAAGCCTGTCGAGCTCATAGAGCTCATAGACGGAGCCTGAGTGATGATTACGTAGACTTTGTTGTCCTGATGGAACGAGTTGGCGGGGATGGGTCATGCTGTATGTTTGTAGGTATATAGAGGCGGCGGATCTACTTGTCTATATGAGACAGATCAGACTAATACTGAGTGTAGGTTTGGATGCAGCATTGGATAGATGCTAATACAAATAAATGAATACTGATATTGGACTATGCCCTGGACTATGAAGTGATATGTTACCTTATGTACGAGCAGGTAGTCGCATCACTCTCAACGGTCTTATAAGAGCAATCAGTTTTACCTAAAATGTACTAGCGTACCCCGTCCAACGACGCGCTTCATCAATATTCGGCCCCTCATAATCGATCACCCTTCACTCACTCTCCCAGTCTCATTCACACCATTAATTAACCCAACTCACGACACAGGGCGTCTGCTCAATAATGGTAGACACAACGCCTGAAAATGACCGCGAAGTAATGAGCACCCAATCTTACTTCCTTGGTAACAAAAACAAATAAAAAAAAGAGCCAAGCTGATACTGGAATACTATGTTTGTTGTGTATTCATAGCGCCTCAAATCGGCACTCTGGTACGCCATAGGACAGATTGTGGACGAAGAGTCGCTGAAGCGGAACCGCAACGCGACGCCGCAGTTTATCGGGGCCTTGACGGAGATGGTGTGGGCGCAGATTGGTGAGAGCCATGTTTCCTTCTTTTACCTTACGTATCCATACTAAAAACCTCTCTTTGTTCCTCCATCGTCGTCGTCGTCATGATTGTTCAAGAATACACATAAAAAAGTTGAAAGTAGAGAGGCTTACAAACATGAGTTATATCTATCTATCAGAAAGCGTGGCGATCGACCTCGAGACATTCTGCAACCACGCGGGCCGGACGACGGTCACGACGGACGACGTGCTGCTGCTGGCGAGGAAGAATCCGGACCTGCACGACATTATGAAGGATTTCGTGGATGGGCTCAGGGCGGAGAAGGAGGCTGCTGGGGCTGGGGCTGGTGCTGGTGCTGGTGGGAAGAAGAACAAGGGGAAGAAGTAAAAGGGGGGCTTTGTTTTGTTTGTTGCAAGAATGCCCTTTGAATGAAAAGGTGACGCAAGTTGAGGGAGATGAGGCTGTGCTTTGGTTGGTGATGGGGGGGCTGATCATGATTGCGTTACCCCCATCTAGGATGGAGAGATGGGAAGCGTTTTGGGGAGAAAGAGTTGAATGGGGGGAGACTTGGGTTGGGTTCTGGACGGTGTGCTTTTCCATCAATGGCCGGGAATTGTTTGTCTCGGTGAAAGCAAGTCAACGCGGGACTTTTGGGTTTCACAGGTATTAGAGCGAAAACTGCTTAAAGCACTCCGAGCTTAAAACAACCAACATACCGAACCAAGGGCAGCTTTTCAGACACAGCAGGAGGGCCGGGCGAGGTGTGCATGTTTATAACGCCGCGAGAGGGACCTCTGCAGCTTGTCATGGTCGACGAGATGGGGTATTCTCATAGCGGGCCTACGGATCACAAAGGCCGGAATGGTGGGCCATCTCGGGCCTCCCCTTTAAGAGGACGCGGAGATGTTCTGGCGTTTTGAGCAGCAAATTTCCAGCAGAAACTCTACGATACATGAACAATGATCGTCGCAATGGTGAGGTTTACTTGTTGATCTCTACCAGGTATCTCGAAAGCAACATATTTCTTCTACCACCGGCCCACTGTAAAGAGCAGCAAGACATATGGCCCAAAATGAAGCCCCATGTCGAGGGCAAATCTATTCCTTCTATCCTCTTTGTGAAACCGGGAGCCACATGCTATGTATATCTCCCCTTCAGCTGAAATCGTTACCTCTTCCTTTCGTCCGACCCACGACTGTCACCTCGACGTAATCTTGACTTTGCTCACCTCCAGCGTCTCCGTATCCACCAGCACCAACTCCTTGCTCTTGGAAAACGACGGCACGGCAATGAGCCGCACGCTCTGGCCCTCGGGGCCGTGAATGACCTTTGTTGCAAACTCGGGCTGGCAGCCGACGAAGTAGACGTGAGGGCACGATTTGAGGACAAACGGGTCGTCTTCTTGAAACGGATAGCTCCCTGAGTAGTTTTTCTCGTCAGTAACGCTCCAAATATATAATTATATATATATATATATATATATATAGAAAACGGAAGGGATGAGGCAAGAAACATACATAGCGTATCGGGCGCTGTGGGAGCGCAGCATCTCCATCTGCACATGGCCTCCATCATGCCCAAGCGGTCGTCGCTCTCAACATACTTGAACACGTCGTCGACGTTCTGCCCGCCCGTGCCCAGTACCCTCCACCCTTCCACCTCTGCCTCCCAGGGATTCGTCACGGTATCAAACCAGCCAGGCTGGGACGCTGATGATGCTGATGCTGAGGCGTTTGCTGCGTAGGCTCTTGAGAGGGGGAACATGGCCGTGTGGATGGGCTGCTGGGGGTAGCTCGCGTTGGCGGGGTCCTGGGCGCCGGGGAGGAGGGTGACGGGCATGGAGGGCAGCAGCTCGGAGACGAAGTCGTCAAATAGCTGGGACGGGATGGGGTTGTATGCGCTGGCGTCGTACCCGTACTTCTTCTGCGCCCGCTTCTTGACCTCGTCGTCTTCGTCTTCGGATCCCTTGCTGGCCGTCGTCGAGATGGAGTCGCCGGCGATGATGAGCCTGCTGATTTGCGACACGCCGGCCTGCTCCTCTGGGCCGAGGGCCTCTCCCAGCAGGTACTCCAGCAGGAGGTTCAGCTCGAGGTCGTACGAGGCGTCGGTGCCGGAAAAGGACAGCCCCGACACGATGGCAATCTTCTTGCCGCCTCCGCCGCTCCCCGGGGGACTGTCCGTCATCTCTGTATCCTCCTCGCTCTTTGCCTTGCCGCCGGCCGAGGGCGCCTTGGAGAGGGCCCAGCGCTCGGGCTGGGGCGCCAGATCGGGCACCTTGAGGTCGATGACCTCAAACTCTCCGTTTGTGTTCTCGGTGCCCATGACGGCGATGATGCACCCGGTGACGAGCGGGATGGTGCTGAGCAGATCGCCCACCAGGCGGACGCGGCCCGAGTCGTCTTCGAGCATGGTCTGGTCGGAGCCGTCGTCGGAGTAGTACTTTTGCGAGGAGATGGGCGCCGAGAGCCAGCGCTGCCGGGAAGTCATACTGCCGTTAGAAGCCACACACACACCCGAGGCATGGAAGGACAGCTGTTGGACTCACATCCTTGGACACATCCTCGAGAATGTTGGGCTTCAGCTTCATGTCCATGTACACGGTGCCCGCAACCCAGCACAGCTCGCCCTGCCGCACGTCCAGCACGCGATCGACCCTCTTGGCCCGCTCGCCGCCAATCTCCGTGTCCTCCCACGCCCTGGCGGCGACCTCCTCCACCGCGGGCTTGATCTTGGCCAGTCGCAAAAAGTACATGTCACCGTACTGCTGCTTGTACGAACGGTTCTTGTCGAGGGCGTAGGAGTGCAGCGGCTTGTAGGCGGAGGGGGCTCGGACGGGGGCCTTTTGCGGGAGATGCCTTTTGAGTCATGAGTTAGAAGGGAAGTGAAGCAGCTTTGAGGGCGAGTGGCTTGTTTAAAAGGAGAGAAGTTCATACGCGGGCGCCTCGAGGAGGCTGGAGATGTCCTCGAGCTGGACCATGATGGCGGCGGTTAGGCGCTGCTGCGGCCGAGCTTGCAGGCTTGGAAAAGAGCGCCTTGATGGGTTATGATGATGCCTGGCCTTGTATCTGTGTCTAGCCGTGAGAAAAAAGAGAGTCTTGAAGGGAATTGAGTCAGTGAGGCGATTGGTTCCGCAGTTTGACAAGACAAGTCCAAAGATCGTGCAGCACCTTTGACGCTGGTTGCGAGCTCGACGCGCCGGTGCTCTTACAGCACTCGATTTCTTTTCTTGTGCCCCGCGTTCAGACGCGCCTCGGACTGGGGGTCGGGGCTGCAAGTATTTGCTTGTACTTCGCAGCCCACATATCTCGAGCTGGTACCAGGAACTGACGCAAGGAGTACATGCGTGTACTTTGTGCCGTCTCTGGCAGTTAAAGTGCCCCATTACACGCCGAACATGGGCTCTAAATGACCGCTAAACTTGAACAGCCAGATGCTTACATGTACCTTAGGTATCCAAAGACCCTGCTGAAGAGCCGTAGTTGCACTGCAACTGTAGGGCTCTCAAAGACGGCGTGTTTCGGACTCCGGACTCTGCGCTTGAGAACAGAACTTGATCTATTTACTACTTACTTGACACAATAATCAAATTTACCCAAGTATGTTGATCTAAAGGTATGAAAACACCCCCCACGTTGGACGAAGAAAATAAAAAGCCATCGACGTCTCTGAAATCCTACGTCAAAAACATCCGATGATGTAAAGCTTGAGAGGGCCGAGAAATACATACATGTAATGACGGATTGCCTCTGCTTTAACGCTAGAAAACTCCGCCGGCGGGGCCCGTGATGCTGCAATGAGACATCCGATGGAAGCCCTAGTAGAAACTCCTCCCAACGTTTAAATAAGCATAAAAGAAGTCCGGCTTGCCCACTTCCATTCTCAACTCGACTTGACTGTGATCCTGTCTCTCAACACATCTCATCTAGTCTTTCACAACTCATTACAACTTCTCTCACAACCCACCTCATCCCTCTCCGGAACTTATATACTACTACCAGTAAACTCACACAACCGCCAAAATGACCTCCAAACAACCCCAATCCCCTCCCCGAATCGTCGTCAAGAACCTCTCCTACACGTTCCCCGACTTCTCCACCGGCGTCCGCAACATCTCCCTCGACCTGCCCCCCCGCTCCCGCACCCTCCTCATCGGGGCCAACGGCGCCGGCAAGACCACGCTCCTCCGCCTGCTCGCCGGCAAGCGCCTGGCCCCCGGCGACGCAATCTCCATCTGCGGCGTCGACCCCTTCAAGGAGGGCCTCGAGGGCGTCACCTACCTCGGCCTCGAGTGGGTGCTCAACCCCATCGTCCGCAACGACATTGGCGTCATGGAGCTGCTGCGCTCCGTCGGCGGCGACGCCTATCCCGACCGCCGCGACGAGCTCGTCGAGATGCTCGACATTGACATCAACTGGCGCATGCACGCCGTGTCCGACGGTGAGCGCCGCAGAGTCCAGCTGGCCATGGGCCTCTTGCGGCCCTGGACCGTCCTCTTCCTCGACGAAATCACCGTCGACCTGGATGTTCTCAGCCGCTACGAGTTCCTCGCTTGGCTCAAGCGCGAGACCGAGAACCGCGAGTGCACCATTGTCTACGCTACCCACATCCTGGACAACCTGGCCGGTTGGCCGACGCATCTCGTCCACATGCATGTCGGCACCGTCAAGGAGTGGGACACGGCCGACAACATGCTGCGGTCCATTGATGCCACTGTCGGCCCTACCGGCAACAGCCGCCTCGGAGAGCTGGTCATGGGCTGGCTGAGGGAAGATCTCAAGGCGAGAGGGCCAAGAAGCCAGGCCAACATTGCCCCCGAAGGCAAGACGTATGGCTTTGGCGGCATCAAGATTGGTGGTTATGGCGATGAGTCCAAGCAAAGAGAGAATTAGGAGTGTGCTAGTTCGTCTCTTGAATTCTGTTTTCTTTTCTTCTTCACTCCCATTCACTCGGGCCGCGGTGGAGGAGAAACGGGGTATTTCATTTCGGCATGGACGCCTTCAACGGCTTATGAGTTGACGCATAAGATGGACATCTCACATCACGGACGGTTGGGGAGCACAGCATTCAACGGTGCATTGGCGTTGGCTTTTGGGTGGATGAGCAGGCCTCAACTCTGCCTTCACACCCGGGATTTCGGGTCTCGTTTGTTCCTTTCAACACCCATAGATGATATTCTGGTGGACACGTGGGATGCAGCACGGTTTCTTTCCTTCCTCTTGTTTTGTTTCATTCATGATACCCTGGATTTCAACCGACGGGATATAGGCAGCTGGTCCGCTTCAACTGGACTCGGTATACATAGTCGCCATATGTTGCAATAGCATCATTTTTTCCTCTGCGCCATCAGAGAGCATGAAGCATCTTGGCCCGCGCTCGCGGCGTTGCGTCCATTGACTTCTTCAGTACTGTCATTGTGTTCTTCAGCAGCTCGGCAATGCCGCCGAGATTCTTTTCCGCAAGTGATCTCAAGACCTCGATGCGATACTCTTGCCATGCGAGCTGTATGCCCCCCGCAGCAGCCAGTTTCGTGAGGCTGGTCTGCGTCACGGGCCCGGCATGCCTTGTCCGAATGGAGCTGTCGCTCGCAATAGCAGCGTCCTCCAAGTCTCGCACAGACTGGATGCTCTGGAGGCAAAGCACCGGTGAGTACGACAGGGAAAACAGTGAAGCAAGTGAAAAGGTCTTGTCCACCGACACCACGTACGAAGTGAGCTTGGAGACAGCAGGCCGCGGCATCATGCAGCCGTGCGAGTTGGTATCCGCATCGCTAAACGCTCGGCTTCTCCAGAAACAGTTGCAAATGTCCATGAGATAGCCGTTGTACAGATTGACGTAGGCTCGGTCATAGGAGAGGGCATCGATCCTACTGGAGCCATCGTTCCTCGCCTTGGTCGACATGGCCATCTCAAAGCCCTTCTTGTAGCACGCCAAGATGTCGCACAGGCGTGATACCGTCGCCACGGAACCACTGAACAAGAAGATGTAGATGAGCTCAGAGGGTGGGAGTTCAATCCGTATGTAGTCCTTCAATCTTTCGTCGTTGACAAGGCGGACTGCCTGCTCGTAGAATTCAATGATGGCCATGTCCACCGATTCCGTTGGAGACGTCTGTAGAAGTGTAAGGCTGAGCTGTCCGGTGTGGCGTATCAGCGCCCTCAGGCTCGTATCTGCGTGGGCCGGGATTGCATCGCTGGATTGTGATACGGCAATCCAATGATGCAGTATGTGAGTGTACAGTGTTAATACTTCAACTTGAGAGCCGGGCGTATTGTCTAGGACAGCTGCCTCCAATGGCTGTAATATGTGTTCATAGAGCTCTTATAGACGGTTAGTTTCCCCAAAGGACGGCCTCAAATGCGATAAGAAAGCGAATACTTGCCTTGAAACTCGACTAGGGGGGCATATGACAAAATTTGCAAGATATGACCACGCTGGCCGGACCCGTTCCACTGTTGAAGAAAACGCGCAAAGAATTCGAGGAGAATGGGGGGTATAGACTATATCATTCGTTCAAGTCAGTCTTAGGCAAAGAGCACCTGCTGCCACTCGATGCCAACTCACTTTACTCTGCACAACAAACTCTCGCACGACGTCCAAGACTTCCCATAGTGTGGCCTCGTCGGCATCCCCCTCGAGGACATTCTGCAAAACCGAGCTCAGCCAGTTGGCTATCCGCTGATAAGCTTCCGCGCTGGGGCGTAAGAGTAAGAGTTTCTGAAGCAAAGGGTCTGCAAGAACAGCCACGAGCTGATTTGGCAGCTCTATCCTGTCCATTTTCTGAACAAAGCCGGTGACATTCTCGATTTCTTCCAGAGTGATCGCGTTCTGGAAACAAGATTAGCATACAGCTAGGCTGGTTTCTGAAGGCTGACCATATTACCTCAGTGACATGAGACGTGTGTACAGATGGCACAACTCTATTCCTTTGGCCACGCCCCGTGGCACGATTGACTTGGAATCCATCAAGGGCTCCGCGTGTGTTCTTCTCCGCTTGTGAAGCATACGCCTCCTGGATTTCCTGAAGCCTTTCCTTCCAGGCAACATCCGGGTGCTAGAGCCGTGTCAATACCAATAGCTTTCTAACCTCAATACATAACAACATTCTCACCTTGAATGCCGAAGCCTTGCCACGGACTAACTCACCCAATATAATCTCGGGATAGTAATCTTTGAAGACTCTCAGAAGGCCGATCAGATACGGATCATTCGCCGTTTGCCGTGACAGAGTTAATCTGTAACTGGCGTCAGTTGCCAGAATTGTAGAGTAGCCATCGGAAATGGGGCACTCACAGAGCTTGAATTCTAAACGGTTTGACATGCTTTCTCCGCGTAATCAGTGCTAATAGATGGCAAACATTCGGTCTAATCGCCGCCGTATCAAGCAAGTTGAAGAGAACCCCATAAGCCTGGGCAAGCACAGCCGGGGTCTCTAAAACGTGGTGGACCATGATGAGCCATTTCAAAAGAGCTACCTGAATGGTGAGCGAAGGCTTGAGCGTTCCATGGCCGAGAGCGCCGATAATACGGACGACAACATCGCGTGATACTCTGGCGACGGGATACAGATTCCTGGCTATAGCATTTAGACTGGCCTGGTCGAGGTGACTGGGCGTAACCAGCAGGCCTACAAGCTCGTCAAGCGCAGTCGGAAGCAAGCCGTTCTCGTAGGCCAGAGACGCCAGGCTTGCTACTGTGGGCTTGATATTTGCCCCCCGAGATTTGGCTGGTAGCTTGGAAGCTATGCGTACGAGCAAGTCAGTGGGCGCCTACGCTCGAGGAGTGGGAGGGTTTGAACCACTCACCTGCAGCCACATCTTGGATGAGTGCGTCAATCTCCTCAGCTGCAGACGGCGACATATCGCCGGCAACTAATACACCGAGGAGGCGGCGAATCGAGCACGGATATGGGTACTAATGGATATGTACAGCAAGAGGCCGATCGGACTGAGACCACGGCGATGGCGCGTCTGTTGTTGAGAAAAACAAATCCGAAAGAAGCGCGGTGCAGGTGCCGGCTTCAGGTCCTTATGCTCTAACTGTCGTATTCGGTGGAGATGCTTCCCATAGTCCGGTGATGAGACAATTGCCACGTCTGATGCGCTCCGCTGCCGGACGTTGGGCCTGATTTATGGCCAGTGAGAGATGGTGATGGCGTCGTTTGGACGAGTCTCCCCGTTGGGTTCTTCACCTACAGATGCTGCCGGCAGTGGTTTGTGGGGGTGGTGGTTATTAGCGCGAAGGGTTCCCACGCCAGCTGATAGCTGTTGGAGAGGATATGCGCCCAATCCTGCCCAATTGGAGAACAAGGAGGATATCAGTGTGAAAACGGTATGAGAGAGAAAAGGAATGATTGAGCTTGAGCAAAGTCATTACAGAGCTTCGAGTTTGGAGTCGCGCTGTGACGAGCTCGTCAGCTAGCAAGGGCGCTAAAGGCTGAGGTACGCTGAGATACAAGCTGGCGGCTGTTGGGTAGCACATTTTCAAGGATCGCCGGGTAGGTACTTGTCTGTACCCGGTGCAGATCTCGAATCTCGCACAGTATATCCTTTGTTAAGCCGTAAGTGTCCCGGCATCGCTCCCCGAAGCTCCATAAAAGCAAATGTTGAATATGCAAGACATGACAGAATAGGCGACTCGCATGCCCTCACCGGTCAAATCTGTATGAAATCTGGGCAGAATACGACTGAGCGTCACGAGGCGCTGGAAGATCTCGACGTGGCAGCCGCTGGCACTGCATTGTTGGGCTACTGCAGGTACCGTTTCCGCAGTCGTCGCACGTAAATGTCCCACAGGTGTCTACATAGACACCTGTGGCAATCACCGGCAGAGATCAATGCCTGAAATCGGTGCTCCGTACATGTATTCCTTAGGAGCAAGGAACCACTTCAGTGCCTGATTGCTATAATTATATATCAATTTGCAGGCTGATTAAGGCTCGAACTTTGTTTGTCTGCCTCGTTCACCGAGTGGAGGTTGCAAGCACGGTACTAAAGAAGTACTACCAGGTGCATTTCAGGGACTATTGCCCAAATTCTTGGCATCGTGCACAGGAAGCTGGATGGAGTGTGTCTTCTTTACATGTATTACACACTTGCCATCATTACCCTATGAAGAAACAGTGGTCATAAATTTGGAGGCGGTTGCACTTGCCTCGGTCGTTGTTGTATGATAGGTGCTCGGAAGGTGCTCTCCATGCCTGGAAGGCACGAGGTAGGTAGGGACTTCCATTGTAGGCTGCAGCTTTCAAAACACCAAACAGAAATTCTCACAGCCTAATCTTCCAACTTCCTTCTCTTCACCCATCATCTCGACATCCTGACTCTCCGCCTTTCGCCTCAAACTCCACCGCTGACTCGACCGGCGACACCTGCGTGGCATGTACTAGAACGGAAACGCGCTACTACTACGACAAAGCTCAGCGACTTTCGGCTTCTTGTCGATCCTTGACATCTCCCGCCCTTCCCGTCTGCCGGCCCCATCAGTCCGGCATATTGGGCCAGCGCTAGGCCCGATACGATCTCGCAATTGCTCTTCCATACGACTGTCCGAGTCGAATCACATGTGGACACCGCCTTCTTCCGGGCCAATATACCAATCAGAAACCATCTCATCTGTCTATTGGGCCTGGTGTCGTATGCCTTCATCTGACTGGACTGGCGGGCTGATCATGGCAAAAGCCTCACCTGCCTACCAACCGGGGCCGTCCACGCTGCATCCGGCAACCGTGGTCTATTCGGACAGACACTCCGTTGCCTCAACTTGAACCTGCACAGTTCAGATGGATCTTCTGTGGGGGACGACTACCATTGACTGCTCAGTGGCTGTTGGGCAGTTCCTTGACCACACAAAGTTGCATACAGGTGGATGCGGACCATATCACAGGTATCAACAGCGTCCGAAAGGAACCTCTTCTATGTGCCCTCAGAGAATCGAGACATGGTGCTTGCCGAGTGTACTTTCTTTTCCTTCGGACCAATCCGTTTTGATATTCCTACCCAAGTGGCAACATGCAGACCACCTCAATCACCGCCTTGGCCAGGATTCTCATTGTCTGGCATCCCACAGCTCTACTACACTTGGCAACCTGCATACAGGTACATAGTCCACGAAGCAGACACTCTACGGCCGACACCTTGCCTGCACCTGCTGTGAGGGCAATATCTTTTGGCCCAATCCTACAGCTGGTCGCCCTGCTTGCATAAAGGCGTCTACTCATTGGCCAGTGTATGCAGAGCATCTCGTACCTTCGCCACACCTCAATTTGGCCTCAAGTTTCCTTCCAAGGCGCCCATCATTGCTTGCCATAGTGCCAGCGAAGCAGCTAATTGCCCAGCTTGAGGGACTGCATCCTTCGGCAGCCGTCCCCGGGCTAGCCCCCATCTCCTTTGATCCCCCATGGTCAGACATCTTGGTCAAGGGTGGGCCGGGCATTTGTTTGCTTGCCACGCCCTGGGCATACCGAATGTTTGATCATGTCTACAGCCAATCCCACGAACCCCCACGTGAAGTTGATCCTTACACTTCCTCACCCCTTGCCATGCGAAGCTTTTCGCAGCCCATTGAATTGTCCCCCAACCCCTTGCTTGACCCAATCAAACAAGACACGATTAGGGCTATGTTACAATGCATAGCACATATGTCGCCGCCCTCTGTGGGAGCTTAGCGGTGCGGGTTCTTTTTCAGCTGATACCGTATGAAAAGACTTGGCGAGGAATATTGGACGCCATCACAGCTCCCTCGCGAAAGACTGCACTGTCCAGCACCATTGCTCTGATCACTGTTTGTGGATCGAGCTCTTCTGCTAAGGGCACTGATTGTGAACAGCTCATAACAGCCGGGGGAGTTGGGGAGCTGTCGAAAACCCTTCAAGCGTCGTCACATCGCGAGAGTGGCGGAAGCTTCTACACATTTCTTGATTCTTTAGTCGAGCTCGGCGCAATTCAAGGCGAGCAATCTACAGATTCGCATCCACAACACCCAAGGGCTTTTGTCAAGAGCTATACAACCGCCAGAATTCTTTCATCGCCGCCTCCAAGGGCACTATGCTGTAGGAAACATCATGTCTACCGGAGCATACTGGCCCGCGGGAAACACAACCAGCCTTTACCCCTCAGAAAATCCAGAGAGACCTGTCGCTACGGTTATGTGGGATTACCAAAATTGTGTCCCCCTCGATCAGATTCCCACCAGAGACAAGCCTCTCCTTCTCTTGACCCCTGTCGTGGTACCACCGGTGGGAAACAATCCCACAGATGACAGAGATCCGTTTGAGATACTCGGACAATCCATCTCTGGCCGAAATATTCCAGTACGCCATGTTCCTTATACCAAGAATCAAGGGATTACGGGCGTCCATGTGGCCTTCATCAAGAGGGCGAGGGCTGTGATCTTCGTCATCACCCACTTGGCCGACACTGACGGCCCGCTACAGTTGGGATTTGCTGAACTCGTGGCGCGGATATGTGAATCAAGGCCACTCATTACCCTGATCTGCTGTGATTTGGCAGGTCGAAACATCTCTAGCACGCAGTTTCGGACTTTGGTGCACATCACCGGATACACGAATGCTGATCTGCTAGTTGCAGCAGCCCTGCTCCTGGATGGCGGTTCGAGGCCAACAGTGCCTGTAGTTACCGGCATGCCCGCCCCAGATGCATCCGAACCTGAGCCTGCGTGGTCAGTTCGGCCCTGGGTTGCCGAGCGAGACTTGGCGGAAACATGCGCCCTTTGGGAAGCGTGTCTCCCTCAACAGTTCCATCTAAGTGCGTCTACTCTCGGGTCTGTCCTGAAAAGAGATGGCTACGCATTGCATTACATCGTGCGGGAGCCGACGGGAGGGTCGCTTGTTGGCTTCTGTGCAGCCTATGCTACCTTTGCCGACAGCTCCGACGTTGCTCTGATAGGGTCCATCGCGGCCATCATCGTGCGAGCTGAGTACCGAGGCCAGGGAATTGGCTCTTCCCTTCATGATACTGCAATGAACAAGCTCCATAGGGTCAGAGGCGTGCAGAGGCTACACCTAGGAACAACTTTTCCTCGGCTGTTCAGTGGTTTGACCGCTGATATGGCTGATGCAAGTCAGTGGTTCGCAAGAAGAGGCTGGCCAGTCGACGCGCAAGGGTATGGGGGGCAGGGTAGCCTTGTCACTGACTGGATTCTTCGCTTTACGGACTTGACAGGCGTCGTAATTCCCTACTCTGGCCTAGGATTTCGACTGTGCCACGAGGCGGATGCGCACCATGTGCTGGGCCTTGAGAATCGCCCGCCGGCGACATCTAGCCACGGCTTCGGCTGGTACGATCAGTACGCTCGGACTGTGAACAGTGAGTATATTAGCGATATCGTCGTTGCCTTTGACAATGCTACAATAGTAGCAACGGCCATCACGTTTGTCCCTGGCCAGCAGAGTCCGGCAGCAGCCGACATTCCGTGGCCGGGATCTCTGAATAGCAATGTTGGAGGAGTAACATGCATTTGTATTCGAGGTCAGCTCTCTTTCCACTCCCCTTTCCCTCCCTTTTTGCAAAGCGAAAACAGATATGAAATTCGCGTATCCTTTTATTGATTACTGATGGGCTACGGCACAGACCAAGACGGCTCACGGGATACAATCTTGGCTTGCTTGCTCTACGCATGCTACCAGACCCTGAGCGGCAAAGGGATGACCGGCATGTTCGTGGACGGAGTTTCCGTCGGAGACCATGTGTTTGTGTCGCTAGGTGAGTTCTGAGCCACAGCCCAAAGATGAAAAATTGCATCGTATCCTCAGCTGTTCCGGATTCTAATCCTAACACCGGGTGTTCAATATGGCAGGTTTCCAGAAGTGGGCGGAATATAGACCCGTTTGGCGAGAGATGTCGCAGTAGGGGGGCTTGCTCAATTGTAGTTACGATGTTTCATTACGTACTGCTACAGCTGCCACTTTGCTTGGATACGGCGATATGGGATTTGTCTTGAGCGGAGGAGTGGACAAGCGGAAGAGGTGGAAGTGGTTTTGCGTATCGCTTGTGTGGGAGGAATAGGGGTAAATGGACCCAATGGCCCACATGTTGAATATCGGGCTGGGATAAAGATGGACCAGCAGTTCAATACAATCTTGTCAATGAAATCCGTCAAGTTGCTCAGGTGGATATGTGAAGCATTGCCCAAGTGAAGCATTAAAAGGGTGTGATGAGAAGCCAAGTATGGGTATATATTGTGTATATTTGTAACTACCATATATGAGGAGGGGAAGTCGACAACAGACGAAAACCCAACCAGTCAGAAAACGACAACAACAACAAAGACGAAAAGCAGGCAAAGGAAGAGAAAGAGCAACAACTTTTGACCCAGATAGATTTCCCCTCCCTCACTTCCCCCTCTCTCTCTCACACGCACATATAAGGATATCAACGCCCCATCTTGCCTGCCCAAACCCAAAAGTACAGAAACAATTCCTTAGATGTCAAACGTCCGCTGACCATGTGTGATGAAGCAAGAAAGAACTTGAGAAAAAAACGGCAAAAGAAAAGAAAAGAAGACGAGGAAGAAAAAAAGAAGCTTATACGAGTACATGATGGCTCGCGCCTACCTTATTGTAACAGACACGTGTAGCCCAGCCGGATTCCCTCCTTTTTTGCTTTTTTTTTGGTTTGTTTGTTTGTTTGTTTGTTCTCTTCTATATTGTGAGATCTTTCTCAATCTTCCTTGTAGTGGCCATCTTTTCTCTCCTTATTATTTGTTCATTGTTCGAGAAGGTGGTCAACATGGCAAATGTACAGTCCGCCCATTCACCCCCATTTGGAAAAGTCAACCGCCTCAACAAGCGAGTCCAGCCCATTCATCCCAACCTCAGTGTCATTTGTCGGCGCCGTAGACAATATCGACGATCGATGAGACGTCTGCTCACTCGTGTTGGTGAAGAATGTGGCCACGCTCGTTCTACGCAAGCTGTTGAAACTATCCCGGACACTGCTCCCTCCCTGCTGAGCTAAGTCCTGGAATGGCTGCAGCGGCGGCGACTGGACCGGTGTGGCAGTGGTGAGGAGTGTCGGGGGTGAAGTCAACGACACGGAACCAGCTTTCGGCCCGTGCTTCTCTCGCAGGCGCTTGATCTCGCGAAGACGGCCGCTCCAGGAGCTGATGTGCTCGCCGCCCTCGCGGTTGTGCCACACATGGGCAAACACGGACGCATTCAGGGCGAGAAGCCGGATGAAGGCGGGCAGAGCCTTGAGTGAGACCATCTTGGTGTCGGATGCTGGCGAGATTGCGGGGAAGCCCGGCTTGCTCATCACTTGCACCGTGTAGAACTTCTTCTTGTGTGCTTGCTCCGGGTTTGCCTCTCTGGTGGCCAGGAACGAAGCCGGTGATGCGGGCGTTATGACAATGTTGACACAGTTGAACTGACTAGGGAAAGTGTCGAACTTGAAAGGGAGGCCAGAGTCGTTGAAGATGATGTTGACAAAGTCATTGCCAATGTGTCGCTTCTTGGCTATGCAGTGCGGGTCCCGTTCAAGATTCGTCGGCATTTGCGTTGTGACATGGAAGACGATTTCAGTCACTCTGTCTCTCCAGCAGAACGTATACTGTCCGTCGGTGTCATGTTCGCGATCCAAGCCCTGCGTGTTGAAGTTTGCCCCCTTGAGCTTAGTCAAAGTTCCCAGGTTGTTGAGGAATTCAATATAGTCGCTGCTCCCCGACACGTTGGCCAAGATTTCTGCCTCTTCGGTCTGGCCTTCGCCAATGTAAATAACGCCGACCTTGTGTCCGTCCAGACTGGATAGGCGATCAAAGACCCTGATGGTTCTACCCGTTACTTCATCGTCCGGCAAGGGGATGGGCCTTGCGGAGTCGTGCGTCTGCGGGATAGGGGACATGAGTTGTATCAGCAGATGACTGGGAAGTATCAGGTTGGACGTGGGTTGGCCCTCTCTTGTAATGTCGACGTGATTCTCTACTTGATGAGGAGGAGGAGGCCGATACGACTCGCGAACCGTGTACGCCGAGGTGCCTGACGGCTGTCTCTTGATAATCTGAGCCCACCCAGACACGGTGGCCTGCTTGACGGTGACGATGCTGTTGCCAACCAGCCATCGCTTCACAGCTATGTCACCAAAGCGGTCCTCTGTGAAATACGGGTCTTCTGCTGATTCGTCGACGTCGGCATAAGTGACCCTCTGCATAAAGTCGATTGACGTAACGGCGTGGTCGTCTGGGCCCTGAGTGAGACTATCCGAGTCCGCGAATAGCTTCTTGACGATCCAGCTGACATGGTTGGCGCGATCAGGCAACTTGAGCGCCAGGAACCAAAACAAGATGACATGGTAGGCCAGGGCGTGGACATATTGCGGCAGATCATCTGTCGGAGGCGGCTGGGAGAGTTCCGATGGAGACTGTACCGATGAAGCAACAGGCGTCGGCAGCTCGCTCGAGTGGGCACTACGCTGAACCTGTCTCTTGTCTTTGGCATATTCCAGGTAACGGAAGCAGATGGCGAAGACTATCCTGAACTCATCCTCCCTGAAGTTGACATACACGTTGTGCAATCGACTCAGGCAGGCAAGGAACTCCAGGATATGGACTGAGACGAAGGGCTGCGTGATAATTGCCGCCATCTGGTTGAGCATCTGGATCAGCGATCTGCTCGTTGACAGAGGCAGCTCATGGCAACATATCGACAGGGCGTGTATGCAGCATTTGGCTGCTCTTTCCCAAGTAGATATCCCATGAACAAACATCTTCACGATCTCATCCTCCTCGGCCTTTTGGAAATGCTCGTGATAGCTGAGGATCATGGTCAAGCTGTGGTAAAGACAAATCGCTATGTCAGCTCGGCGAAGCCCTAGGGCATTGGGGGGCTCTTGGAAACTATTGAGCCGAATCTGTTCGCAAATCACCCTGCGAAGCTCCTGTATCTGCGGTATCGCATCCCGGAAAATGGCATGGTTGCTCAGCTGCGACGGCAGATGTACCAAGACAAAGCTGTATATCTCCCAGTCGCATCCTTGGAGCATGCTCAATACAGTGTCCAGCCAGGCCGAGAGATCGAGAGCGCAAGGCTGATATTGTGCCAGCTCGGCTGCCTGCTCCTGACCTTCTGCCCCGTCTTCCTTGTGAAGATGGGATCTGAGAACCGGGCTAATCATGGACGGGATAGCGTCAGGCAGTGCGTTTGGGTCGGGGTATTTCCACATATAGCCTTGTCGCTGCCCAGCCCGGCCCTGGCCCATAGATACTCCACGTGTTGCCGTGCGAGACTGAAAGCCACCTTCTACTCTGGACAGACGAGCCGTACTTGCGGCTTCCTCGGCCTGCTTCTTCGCGAGCGAGCCCTCAGTGCGAAGCAGAGTAGTGGCGGTAGACATGGCGTCCAGATTGTTGGTGATGAAGACACGATCCGCCCAGTCGGCACGGAGCCTGAAGAGCAGCTTCATCGCTGTCAACCGAGCATCTACTTCGCAATGATCCAGCTTTGCGATGCTGACGAGCACATTGAAGAGCTTCACGCTCTTGTCGTTGTGGAAGTTCATGAGTCGCATGAACATCCGGACGTATCCCCGGGTGACGACGTTGGAGGGCGACTGCTCTACTGGCGCCGGTTCCGTGGTCTCAACACCGCTGACCTGTGGGATCGAGACCGCTAACGGCGATGTGGGCGATGTAATGGGCGACTTCAGACGGTCGCTGACCACAATTACTCGCAAAGCGTTGATAACAAAGTCAAAGAGGTCTATATCACATGCAACGACTACCGAGGTCATGAACGAGATGATGGCGTCCAAGACCAGGACGTCGACTTCCTCGGTGACATCCTGGAGAATGCTCTTGGCAAGGCGAGGGATAAAGTCTTGCTCATCGCCGTCGCCCACCAAGTCAACGATCTCGTAAGCATCCATCATCGTCTGCAGGGCACGTAGCCGCGTCTCTGAAGAACGGCTCCGGTTTCTGAAAAACCCATCTAGCACCAGCGTCAGGTTCTCCTCCCACCGAAGATCTGATGGGGAGCAGCATCGAAACTCCTGGAAGTAGTCGAGCACGGTACGAGCCGTGGTATCGGGGAGGAGTCGATGCACGTCGGTGAAGAACTTGATGACGGTCTGCCGAGGAACAAAATCGCCCGACTTTTGCGTCACCAGCTGGTCTAGCCGAGCGATGAGCAGCTGCAGCTCGTGTTTAATGTTGTCATCCATGGAATCGTCCCTTGCCCGGGTACCCGCGATCGGATCGGGGTTTTCTTGGATCCTGCGATAGCATTCCGCGGCCGTCTCTAGCGGGACTGACCAGTCCTCGTCGAGGACCAAGCGATGTAGCTGCCCGTTTCCGTCGTTGAACAGCGAGTTGATGAGTTGAAGAATCGCATGGTAGATCCTTGGCGAGCTTGAGATCTTGAGGGTGTTTGCTAAGCCATCCACCAACAGGGCATATGGAACCGTAGGATAGCCCTTTTCAGTCGTCTTGGAAAGCAGCTTTTGTAGGACAGCAAGCGCGCCCCTGATATCGCGACCCATATCCTTGTTGCTGACTTCGTCCAGGGACGGATTGCGCAGAACATCGAGCAGGATCCGGACTGCTGCTTGGCCATTGTGG